GGTCACCGCTTGTGAAGGGAAAGGGGGGTCCGCGCTGCGGGGTGACCGTCTGACACCCGTCATGAAGGGAAGGGGGGGAGTCTTCACTGTGGGGAGACCCTCAGACACCCCTCGTGAAGGGAAAGGGGGGTCCTTCCTGCAGGGAGCCCCTCAGGCGGCCGTCATGAAGGGAAAGGGGGGGTCCTTGCTGTGAGGAGACCCCCAGGCACCTCTTATGAAGGGAAAGGGGGGGGTCCTCGCTGTGGGGGTCCCCTCAGATACCCCTCGTGAAGGGAAAGGGGTGGTCTTCGCTGTGGGGAGGCCCTCAGACACCTGTCATGAAGGGAAAGGGATGGTCTTTGCTGCGGGGAGACCCTCAGACACCTCTTATGAAGGGAAAGGGGGGGGTCCTCGCTGTGGGGAGCCCCTCAGACACGCCTCATAAAGGGAAAGGGTGGGTCCTTGCTGTGAGGCAACACTCGGGCACCCGTCATGAAGGGAAAGGGAGTCCTCGCTGTGGGGAGCCCCCTCGGCCCTGTCCTCCCCAAAGGGAGGCAGTCAGGGCTCTGGTGATGGGCTTTCCTGTCCTAGGAGGCTGGTGTCGGGCCCCCGGGTCCGTCCCCTCTCCCCGAGGCAGACGGGGCCCCGTGATGCTGCGCCAGGCCGTGCTGGCAGGGCACTGGGGACGGCCGGCGCTGAACGTGTTCCATCAGTAAAACCAGACCCTTGGTGTTCAGAGCCAGCTGTCGCCTGCCTCACTAACCGGCAGACAAACACATTGCTGTGGAGGTTCTGCCTTTCCCTGACGTTTTTAGGGATGCTTTCTCTCCCCTGCCCTTTCTAGGTGGTTGAATTTGCTGTCTTCCTTCTTCCACCGTCCCCGAATCTGTGTCCCTTTGCCCCTGGGTGCATCCCTCGGGCAGCCACCGGCCTGTCGGGGTTGTTGCTCACAGAGAAGCGGGCTGGCGTGTATCGGTCCAGGTGACAGCTGTGGTCCAGGTGACAGCTGTAGGATCATGACTACTGGGGTTAAACTGCAGAGCAGCCCTCCTGTGCTTTGTTTTCTCTCTTCCTTTTCGATTTCTTCCCCCAGATCTTTCTCCCGTCGCCCATTCACGCTTCCTCCAAACAGCCCTCGTACGCTGCTGCCACGAAAGCTCAGGGCGTTGTTTCTCCAGCTGCTGTGCTCTTAATTGGATTTTGTTGTAAATGCGATTTGCTTGGTGTATTTGTGGAGGGGGAGAAAAGTGTAATAGTGCGTCTCCTTTACGATAGAATTGTCTTTACAAAGCTTACTGATGTTCTCGGTTAGCAAGTGACTCCCCCTCCCCGTTCCTCTTCTTCAAGGGTGCATGTGCAGCACCCTCAGAAAGGGCACCTTTGGGAAAGACTGTTTTAGGGGTAATTTGTTTCAGACAAAAATAAATGGCCTCCAAATTCTTTTCCCTATGGTTACAGTGATCTGAGCCTGATGGTTAGAGCCTGACTGGGGCTCTCGGGTTGGACCGACCCAACGGGGCACGTTGTACCGCTTAAACAGTGAGGGAGTTCTCCTTCGCTGGGAAGTCTTGAATAACAGAGCGGGTTTTTTAATCGTTGTCTTTTCTTACTCCTTTCAGACGGTGTTTGTCGGAAAGAACAAGCCGCAGAAAGATCCACTGCGCTGCTTCCGCTGGCAGGGCTTCAAGCTGGAAGAATATCTCATCGGCCAACCCATCGGGAAGGGCTGCAGCGCGGCTGTGTACGAAGCAGCTATTCCTCTCCCTCCCCACGGCCAGGGGCGTGCGGAGAGCAGCCGCCTCGCAGGGCAGGGCCCAGCCGTGCCGCCGCGGGACCGTGGCTCGGCGTCAGAAACGCCGACCGAAAGAGGCTTTTCCGTTAGCTATCAAAATGATGTGGAACATTTCGGTAAGGAGTTGGTTCTTAATGTCCTCGTCTGTCACTGGGAAAGTCTGGCTGAAATGTGTAATGCTGAAGTACTGAAAGCGCTAATTATGTAGCGCACGATGAGCGTGTCAAAACAAAGCTGTTGATAGCTGACACTGGAGACGTTGCTTGTTAGCGAGCAGTCCTGGAGCAAGGTAATTAGCCTTCATCATTCCCCTGGAATTGGCACTGAGAGCTGCTGCTGCTGCTGCTGCTGGTGGTGGTGGTTATGGAGGTGATGGTTCCGGAAGAAGAGCTTTTCTGAAGCTGGCTGTAATGGCAAGGTGTAGGAACAGGAAAACCCCTGCTGTCAGTGCTTTAGAAATCGGTGTGCTTGTCGATGCCAGGATAGAAACAGATTTTGTTCTGCAGAGTGTGGCTGAGGTGCGAGTCGGTGGTCACAGGGGTGGGGCAGTCACCTGTGTGCTGGGTCCTCTCGCTGTGGAGCGAATGGGTGAGATCTGCGCTGGTGATTCCCATCCCAGGTGACTCTCTGAGGATCCAAGCCCCCGATGTGGCTATTCTGCATCTAAAAAAATCCACGTGGCTTTTCCCCTTGAAGTGGTTTTGTGGCACTTGATGTGATAAGTGGATATTCTAAGAGAGTCTTCTAAATTGCCAACATCTGAAATCCCTGGGGCTCCAGAAATACTCTGGCATTTAGCTGTGGGCTTTTCCAGTCGGGTTTCAAGGTTGAAAATGAGCGTTGATGTATAGCTTGGAGTGCAAACAGACGAGGATGCGTTTGAAGAGACAGACAGATTTCTTTCTGCAAGTAAAGGCTGTGCCATGTCCCTTGGTAAATTCTGTAAGTAGTTAAACGCCTTTCTGGATTTTCTAAGTCGAGGAGGGAGTCCCTTCGATCTAGTCTCAGTTGCTCTAACTCCAGGTACAGTGCCAGCGTCAGGAGTATCTGCTTTCCGTCTGCATCGAGGCTGGATGCTTCTGGAGCTTGCACCAACGTGGTGTGTATTTGCTGTTGCAGGCTGGTTCGTCAAGCGAAGCCATCCTCGACGCTATGGGCCGAGAGCTTGTTCCAGCCACGGGGGTCGCCTTAGCCGGAGAATACGGAGCCGTCTCTGGCCGCAGGTACAGTCACGATGGAAACGGCGGCGGTTATCGCATGGTCATAGAACCATAGAACGGTTTGGGTTGGCAGGGACCTTAAAGCTAATCTGGTTCCAGCCCCCCTGCCATGCGCAGGGACAAGGTCCAGCCCCCCTGCCATGAGCAGGGACATGTTCCCCTAGGCCAGGTTGCTCAGAGCTCCATCCAACCTGGCCTTGAGCACTGCCAGGGGGGGGCACGCGCTGATTTTATCCACCGATCCATTTTGCAGCACATGCGTAGCATTAAGCCCATGGCCAGAGGTTTCTGTAATAGTTCCTGAAAGCAGAGAAGGACGAAGCCTTGGGATTACTGGTGGCTCAGGAGGCGTGTGCGTGCGTTTTGTCTGAACAGCGGTGCCTTCAGAAGCGCCGCACACCTCGAACGTCACGCTGGGACGTGGGGGTTTGTCTGCCCCGTGCTTTTCTCCAGCACTGCTAGGAAACCGCACAGCAATCTCGCTGTTCAAATGGCGATCTCGCACCGTCTTGTTTGCTCTGAGGAGCAGATTGCGGCGCGGCTTGTTGGCGTGCGGGGAGTACCTGCAGGCAAACCGTACCGGTGTGGGTGGCGTAGTCCAGAGGGCCGTCGAAAGGGTACGCCGGTGATTAGGGACCGGTTGGGGTCCTGCCGGCGGTCTGATGGGTGACTGTGGCCGGCATTGCTGTGTCACGTGCCTCAGTTTCCCCCTGTGTAAAATGCGTCGATATCTGCAGAGTTAAAGGCTGGGAGGAGCTACTTCTGATTAAACATCATTTCAAAGAGCATCGGGGTGCTTTTTAATTACAGAAATACACACCTACAATCGGTAACAATTTGACTGTATTAAACATCACACAATTTGACCGGAATAGAGTTTGACTGGAGTATTTTAGAACTGATCTGGTTCTAAAACGGGTGCCGGGCGGGGAGGCGGAAACTGCGTGCAGGCAAACTGGCGAGAAGGAAAATGGAAAATTACTCTGTTTGCACTCTTTCACGCGAGTGAGAAGTGAGCGAACAGCATGGAGGTGGAAAATTGCACGGAAACTTTTACGTTGTCTGGAGTTTAGCTGTCTTTTTATTCAGGAATGCGTCTTTTAGTTCGATTTGAAACAATGGAGTCCGCAGTCCGGATGCTCTGATTTAAATTTCAAATACATCTCAGCTGCCATTACAAATGAAGAATGAACGCTGCGTGGTACGTCGCTAGCTGAGTATGCGGCGGAGCAGCCGAAGGGATATTTGACATTCAGAGGGCGAGAGGGAGAGGGGTCTGTTTTGCAGCTACAGATAGGGAGCCTGCCTGTCGTTGTAGGGAGTGCTTCCTGCCCGTGCCGTAAAACACAGGGTCTAACCTGAGGTGCCTGGGGTGAAGCTGACCTTTATTTTATGTCTGTCAGAGTAATTGTGTTTGGTTTTCTTTTCTCTAAAGCTGCCGTTGTAGTTTTTTTTGAACCGAGAAGCAGCCTGCGAGTGGCTCTGCCTTGGTTAGCAGCGTGTAAGGGCTAGTAGGGTTTGAGTAAAATGAAAGGGTGCCTGTTACATGTATTGATTTCCAGCAAAGCTTCGTTTGCAGTGCAGGTAAAGCACAAGTATGGCCTGGGTAATTCCATTAATATTTCATACTAATGAAAAGTGATTTCAGAAATAACAGAGATGTGTCTGTAATAGATCAGAACTGACCAGCAGATCGATGTAACCTGTGGCATCTCTACTTTTGCGCAGAAAACCTGTGCTTGGCAGGAAGAAGTTGCAGCCTCATCCGAATATAATCCAGGTGATCCGAGCGTTCACATCGTCTGTCCCTTTGCTGCCCGGAGCCTTCACAGACTATCCCGATGTTCTTCCGCTAAGCCTGAATCCCAGCGGGATCGGTCACAGCCGCACGCTCTTCTTGGTGATGAAGAAGTAGGTAGAGAGGAGTTTGGTAACGCGACTCAGGCTTTTCGTGACACCGCCCAGCGGGGCTGCGTATTCCGCTGCTCCGCGGGTCTTCGCAAAGATTTGGCCTGGGCTGCCGCCAAAGAGCAGAGCACGCTCTTGGAAACGCCTCCCGAGAGCCCTTCCAAGTCCTTGAGATGTGAACGCGTGTTCGACAATGGAGACAAGCCGTTCTTTTTAATAATTACCCCAAATGAAAGTAAGAAATGTGGAGCTTGTCCCCATTTGTCTGCCCTTCTAAGTCTGAACTTCACCCCTAGTCTGAACACGTCGCTAGAGACGGAGCAGAATCGGTAATGAGATTTATTAGGGCTCGGCATCTCTGGCTTTCTCGGTCGGTTTTTGGTTTTGATGGGTATTGCAGCGGCCTTGACATAAAAGCACCTTCCGTTTCCCACTCTTTTGTTCCGCCTGCGTCTGGAGAAGTGCTCTGTCCTCTCTGTATTTCAAGAATATGTTCTTTCCTGATGAGCCCATCCCCTTGTTTTGCTGGTACGATCCGCATTATTTATCTGCCTCCTCTTTCATGTGAAATATAACACCGGTACATAAAAACCTGTAAGCGTGACCACTGCGTGTCTGGAGCCCCTCGCCGTGCTGTTGAAGAGGCTAATGTGATTCGCAGTTGTCGAACTCAGGCGAGAGCACTGAAAATTCAGTGGTGGGTGTTGTTGCAACAACAGGGTTTGAGAAGAGCAGAGAGGGGAGCGGAGTCGGGTTGAGGCTGGGAGGTGGGAAGGCACCGCGGAGCTCAGGAAGAATTGGGCGTACGTAAGCGTGCGGTATGCCCCGCCGGCCAGCGCTGAGGTTGAACCGCAAGCGAAGAGCTTCCGGGATGCTAATTCAGAGGTTTTCCTGGTTCTGACTAGTTACCCGTGCACCCTGCGCCAGTATCTGAGGGAGAGCTGTCCGGACGTTCATCTTGCCACGATGATGATTTTGCAGCTCCTGGAAGGCGTGGACCATCTCGTTCGACACGGAGTAGCACACAGAGACCTGAAGTCTGACAACATCCTGGTTGAATTTGATTCCGGTACGTAGATCACGGAGTACAGATGCCAGTCAAGGCACGCACAGAGGCGATGCAGTCATGTAGGTGTTCTGGGAAGTCCTACCCAGGCGTGCGTTTGGGGGAAAAAGGAGCATCAAACCCTTTGAGGAATGTCGGGTTTAGTTTTTAGCTTACCGCTTGCTGTCGCTGCGGCACTGGGGAAGCCATTGACCAGTCTGTGCCTCGGGTTTTGGATCGTGAGAACGGGCTTGGAAGGAGCGTTGCGCTGTGATTAGACGGAGAGTTGCAGAGTATCGCTAAGGTGATGCGTGGCACAAGCACAGCGAACGCTGGCTGGAGCAGACGGGCGTACAGTAACGCCGCATCGATGATGCTGGAGGTGCCTTTGCTTCAGGCTCTCAGCTCCGTCATCTCTCGGGATCAAACAGCACAGGGCGGTTCTTGAAATCCCACCTCGCGGTCAGGTTGATAGTGCTGCACCCTGGGGTGACGAAGCGTTGGTCGGCAGGTGAGGGAACCGGCAGCATTGAAGCCCAAAGCAGCGTTTTTGTCGTCTTGTTCTCCTGTCAGCCTCTGTAACTGAGACTTGAATTACCTGAGCTCTTTTTCAGCATGACTGAGATTCGAATGGGCAGGAAACACTAGCAGGCAGCCAGATCTGTGTGATTAAAGGTCTTGGTGCAGCAGCCGTGGAAGGTTTTCAGCGATGCTAATGCCATCCTTCTCTTCTTGAAGGAAAAGCTCCTCTGGAGCTGTGCTGAATGCGGTTAGGAATGGTCTGAAGCATCAGTTTTTCTCTGGAAAAGTCTGGAGAAGTAATGATTCTACTTTGTGGTGTTTGACTTGTCATCAGGACAAGAACTCTTCACGAACGCAAAGTTTCTCCAGCCTTTTGCTATAGCTAAATATACATCTCTGTGTCGAGAGCTTTTGCTATCGATAAAAACAAAGGGGGAAAAAAGAATAAATCCCTCCATCGAGGATGAGTCTCTAACCTCACGCGTCTTCAACTGAATGGTTTCTGGGACATTCTGCGAGACACACGTTCCATGGGGAACAGTGAGATGCTCTAAAGAGGAAGTGGAGTAACGAGTTTTGTTGTCCTAAAACTGCTGTTTCACCGAATAACACAGAGGAGCAGCAGGAAAACAGCGCGTGGTCGTGCTCATTCCTGGGGGGTTGGAGGTTGTTCCTGAAGGCTGTCTCTGGTGTCCACGTGACGCGGCGTCTAAGACAGCCGGGTACTCCCGAGCCAGACGCTAACGCTGCTGGCCCCGTGTCGTTCGCAGCTGGCTGCCCCTGGCTGGTGATCACGGACTTTGGCTGCTGTTTGGCGGATGAAAACATCGGCCTGAGACTGCCTTTCACCAGCTCGTACGTGGATCGGGGCGGCAACGGCTGTCTCATGGCACCCGAGGTAAAGTCCCCCTGTAGTTGGTGTTGCCGGTTGTCTGCCTGTCGTGCTGTGAGGTCTAAAAGTTTCAGCCCCAGCTGTGGTTTAGGCTGTGACAGGAACTGGAGAAAGGGCGGGCTGAGGTCTAGAAGCAGCGGAGGGTGTGCCTGCCCATCAATTGGCTGCGATTGCTCCCTGAGCCTTCCCCCGCGTGCACGCACCAGTGCTCGCTTACATGGTCTCTGCTGGCCTGTGTCCCCAGCAGGACCTGCTGAAAGCCTCTGCTTCGATCAGATTGATC